CTTACAAAACACAGATTATCACAGATACAACACTAGATATAGGCAGCGAAGCGGTCTTCCTACCTATTTCAACGTGAGTCCATGATGAACCTGTAGCATGCATCCATACACTTCAGAAAACTCGTTGTTTCTGCCTTAGAAGAGTAAACTGCTCTATAAAATAGTTGGCTGAGAACTAGTCTTTAATAAGCAAACAAAAATCACAATAAATTGTAATATCAAGTCGCAATAGTACGGATGTAACGATTACCAGTTTGACGATAAATCATGTTAAAATTCCCCACGGTTAGTATTACAGTTTCATATTTTAATTATCATTAAAACCGTATTTGATTACTGTGATTTCCACGGAGTTTACGGGAAACAGCTGTAATTCAGCTTTTCCATAAGCGCCACCTGCTGTCAGTGAGTGGATTTACAGAGACTTATATTTACATTCAGCCTGTGTGCAGTTTCTGTCTGGCCACGGACGGACCGAATTTGCATGCCCTGCTGTAAATTTTGACCGGTTGATGAAAAACAAGCTTATGTGGATTCTACACATTTAAACAATTCAGATAAGTTATCTAGAATTATTTATGGAGCAGATAAAATACATATAATCATTTATTAATCAATTATCATTTTGACTTAAGTATCTTTTCTTTATTTAAAGGCTGAAATTTGAGGTTTACCTTTTCATGAAACTTTTTCAAAGCTTTATTTGAACATTTACATTAGATATTTCAACATGCTATTAAACTGTTGTCAGTCAAGTTGTCATTTAAAATCCGAACATCATTGGTAATGTTACTGTTTTAGTGATTATGCAAACAAAAAGTCATTTTATTTGTTGTTTGTTGATGTTTAAATATAAAACTTGGTGAAGTGATTTATGTGTTGGTACTTTTTTAACATCTCCAGCACATTTTAACAATACCGTGATAATACTGATAAATGTGATCATTTTGGTCACTATAATCGTGATAAGAAATTTTCATACCGTTACATCCCTACACAATAGTTATACAATCGCAATACTCAATTATTACAATATACAGTAGCATATGAAAGTGAACAGGTTCAATTGGTGGAAGAATTAAATTGTAATGAGTCCACTGGAGGCGAGTTGAAAAAAACCCAAGTGTAGCTTTATTTAAATCCCAAAAGTGACCAAACAATAAACAAAGACTTGACTTGACTTGACTTGAAATAAGACTTGACTTGGCATGGCATGAACAGACTTGGCGTAAACAAAAGCAAGAACTCACCAACAGAGGACTCATTACAGAATACTCGACCGAACCATGAACCCAGCAGTTTCACGCCTCCTCTGCCTTCGTCACGGTGACAGGGCCATAGAAAAAAAATAGGACTATTTGGAGGAATTTTGTGGTTTGTCATCTTGTGGATTTTAATGATGTGGCACTCAAGGACATTTTTCGTTTTGGCTTGAATGAACCCTTACGTTTATGTCTTCCCGGAAGGAAAATTCACTGGTCCCTGGCTCAATACATCGACCATGCCTTGCTGCTAAGTGGTTCCTCATTTACTGTAGGAATTGCAGATGAGGAACCCTGCAATCCTGTAGTACCCACCACAACAGAGCCTGCTAGCGTCACGCCTGCTACTCCAGAGCCTGCTAATGTCATGTCTGCTACTCCAAGGCCTGCAAACATAATGTATGCTACTCCAGGGCCTGCTAACGACGTGTCTGCTACTCCAGGGCCTGCTAACGACGTGTCTGCTACTCCAGGGCCTGCTAACGACGTGTCTGCTATGCCAAAGCCTCTTCATGTCATGTCTGCCAAGCCAGAGCCTGCTCACGTCATGCCGGCCACTCGAGAGCCTCTTCACAAAATGGCTGCCAACCCAAGGACTGTTTTTAAAATGGCTACCACTCAAGAGTCTCATCCCATAATGGCTGCCAACCCAGAGACTTTGTACAAAATGGCCACCATTCCAGAGCCTCGTCATGACAGAACCTCCCGAGGCAGCGGCGTCCACTTCTGAACTCTCTGCCTGTCCTGTCATGGCCAAGGAGGCTGTTCATGAACTCACAGTCTGTCCTGTCATGGCCAAGGAGGCCATTCATGAATTCTCTGCCTGTCTTGTTACGGCCATAAAGGCCGTTGTTAACCTCTTTATGCTCTCTGTTCCAGTCCCACCATATCCGCCGTGGTGGTTCACTGTGCCATTGGCTCCACTGAAATGGTCATCTGCTCCACCGTGGGGATCTTCGGTCCGGTCTGTTTTACTGTGGGGGTCTTCAGCACCGCTGGCTCCGCCCTGGCTTCCTGCTCCACCAGTTCTGACCTGGCGGTCCTCAGCTTTGCCGGCTCCGCCCTGGATTCCTGCTCCACCAGCTCTGACCTGGTGGTCTCCTGCTCCACTTCTCCACAGTCTGCCACTGCACCATGGCCCAGGTCCTCCAGTGCTCCACAGTCTGTCACTGCTCCACGGCCCAGGTCCCCCTCTGCTCCATTGTCTGCCTCTGCTCCACAGTCCTGGTCCTCCAAGGCTCCATGGTCCAGGCCCGCCTCTTTTCCATGGCCCAGGCCCACCTTTGCTCCATGCCCCATGCCCCAGGCCCGCCACTGCTCCACAGCCTAGTTCTACCATTGCCTCATGGTCCATGTCCACTATTGCTCCATAGCCCATGGTCTTGCCCACTGCTTCATGGTCCAGGCCATGATTCTGAACCTGTTCTCCTGCATGGGCCTGGCCCTCCATCCCTCCCCCTGTTCTGCCTCCGCTCCACCACCCTCCTGGACTTTTTTGAGTTTTGTTTGGGTTGGGGTGGGTGTTGCATAAGGTCGTCAAGAGCAGCCCTTAGAGGGGGGGATCTGTCATGTCTGTTTTGGGGTTTTGTTTTATGTTCTTGTTTTCATGTCTTTTATTTTGTCATTTGATTCATGCTGTTAGTTTCATGCTTTCCTTGCCCTCATGTATTTCTGCCTTGTATATGTGTCATGTTCTGATTGGTTGTCCTAGTCATGTGTCTTGCTCCTTATTGGTTGGATTGTGTCATGTGACCCTCTTTGTTTGGTATTTATAGTCCTCATGTTGCCATCGTCTCCCATCGAGTATTGTCCCTGTAATCTGCTGTTGGTGAGTTCATGTTTCTGTCTGTTCAAGCCAAGTCAAGTCTGTTCAGGCCAAGTCAAGTCTGTTCAAGTTGTTTCATGCCAAGTCAAGTCAAGTCTGTTCATGCCAAGTCAAGTTTTTGTTTGTATTTTGGATTACTTTTGAATAAACTGCACTTGGGTTCATCACAACTCGCCTTCAGTGGACTGCTCGTTACATAAATCCTCAGAAATAGAAAATGTGACATTTAAAATTGTATTCAATAATGCCCCAAAACAGACCAAAATTTATTATGATAAATAGAATTTAAGCCCATCAAAATCTCTTTCTGTCTCTCTCTGTTTTTCCCCTCTTCCTATCCAGTATGCTCCACACTCCAGTCCAGTAGTTCGTGTAAATAATGTGCCAAACGCCATTAAAAGGAAAAAAAGATACAAATAAACAAACAATACAAAGGGGTATAAAAGCTACCAGGCACTCAACTAGTAAAAAAATGGCTAATGTAATAGGTTTTTCACTTAAAGGGGTCATATGATGCGATTTCAATTTTTCCTTTCTCTTTGGAGTGTTACAAGCTCTTGGTGCATAAAGAAGATCTGTAAAGTTGCAAAGACTAAAGTCTCAAATCCAAAGAGATATTCTTTATAAAAGTTAAAGAGTCAGCCACGCCTACCTAAAACGGCTCGTTCTAACACGCCCCCACATGTCTACGTCACTGTGTGGGAAGATTTGCATAACGCCGCCCAAATGTTCACGCAAAGAAAGAAGGCGTAACTTTTATTCTCGCTGTAGTATTGTTGCCGCCGCCGCCATGTCGTGAAAGCGCTGTGTTTCATTGTGAAAGCAAAACTACTTTGTTTGGCCTTCCAAAAGGTTGCTGGTTGCTGAGGAAATACATCAACTTGGCACTGTCAATCGCCAGATCGCCTTTCACCGTGGACGAAGCGGAGTCAAGCCCGGGGTCGTCACA